CCCACCCACTCCCTCTCCAGCTGACCCTCACCAGGCACCCGATAAGCTTCAGAGACACAGGCTCATTTTCCGTTGGGCCCCCGACCACCCAGGCCTCCTCTGATGGGCCAGACATAGAGGGACCCAGCGGTGCAGGGCTCATGGTCCCCAAGCCCTGGGGCCAAGGGGAGTGACAGCTGAGGCTCCCCTAGAATGATGCCCATGGAAGGGGCTCCCTTCCCCCCGAAGGAGGTGAGTGTGAGATGTTATTTCAGCAACCAGCTTCTCCACATCCCACGTTCTCAAACAGGGCTGACGTGGGGAGAGAGACCTGAACCACAGCCCTTCCTCCCTCTGGGCTCAACCTCTCAGTCTCTGCCAACCAAAGAGGGAAGAGAAAGGACAGCAGCTTGTGGCTTCTTCCCTCCTGGCCCCTCCCCGCCAGCTCCACTCTGGGATCGATACGAATGCTGAATTCTCAATCTTATCTGAGTTTTGCAAGGATAAAGCAACAAACTTCCCCCATGATTAAATCCTGTGATGATCAGCCCAATATTTTCCAGACCACCTCCGATAACTTCTAGAAAGCAAATGAAATGACCGAGAAATCTGACAGCCACCACCCTCCCTCTCCTGTAACAGAGAATCCTGTGGAAGCCAGGAAATAAGGTGGCGGGCGAGGCTGAGGAAGGCCCCAGCTTCTCCCAGCAGCTCAGCTTCTGCCCGGCTATAGGAACCTATTGGGCAATCCAAAACTTTATGTGCCTCAGTCTCTCCATCTGGAAATGGAGGTATACTGTAGTCCACTAAGAAGAATGGGCGTGGAAGGTGCTCAAGTCCTTAAAATCAGCAGCTCCCCTGCTTAAGCCCCTGCTAAGCATGATGCTGGGCATCCATCTGACAAGAGCGGGACTCGGGCAGCTGGGTGCACCTATGACCGTCACAGAGTGCCCCAGTGCGTGCGGGCACTGTGCGGAGTACTTGGTGCCTCGGTGCTCAGGAAGTGCTGTTTCACATGGCCTGGTGAACTCAGAACCCGCCAGACCACATGGTGTGTGCGGGAGGGGACCCAGTTCCCCCTTCAGGACCCATTGCCGGAGGAAGGCCCCCGCGGTCTGCCCCTCCAGGATTTCCTCAGGACAAGCCCAAGGTCATATCTGCATCCAACGACTGATGAACATGCAGGTGCAAAGCCCGGCCCTCTCACCCCAGCTGGGGACAGTGGCCTTCAGGATTCCCCAGAGCATCCCAGGTGGGCTCTGCCTCTCTTCTCCGCCTCACCAGGGACACTCCTGCACGCTAATCCTCCCCTCGGGGGAACAACCTACATCTGCTCACCTCCCTTCCCTAGTAAAGAAAATTAAAATAGAAAAAGGAATTCATCTTGGACAGTCTCTCAGATAGAAAGCTAAAAGCTGGAAGCATATGTCCGGCCCTGAGCTCCTCCACCCAGTTCCCAGGTTTCCAGAGCAGGAGCCTGAGGTGTTCAGAGACGTTAGGGAAATGTCCCCCACTGCAATCAAGGGGCAGTGGAGCTGGGAGGGGGTCCCTCTGTGTGAGTCAGCTGCTGCTCGATCTTCTTCCTGTTCCAGGGCAGGGGACACACACCCTGGGGGGGGGGGGGTGACTGAGAGGTGAA